GATTTAAGCGAACTGCTATCCTGGATCAAGTGGTGGCACACAGAGTTCCTGGCACTTCCACAACAAGATGGAACTTTCACAGTCGTGTTGTTAGGAGGATACGTCCCCAGCTGACCCAGAAAACAGCGCAGGTTCTGGTCCAGGCTCTCGTCATCTCACGCCTAGACTACTGCAACTCCCTCCTGGCTGGTCTACCTGCATGTGCCATCCGACCTCTGCAGCTCATCCAGAATGCAGCGGCTCGTCTGGTCTTCAACCTTCCAAAATTCTCCCACACCACGCCGCTCCTCCGCTCCCTTCACTGGCTTCCGGTAACTGCTAGAATCCACTTCAAGACACTGGTACTTGCGTACCATGCTGCGAATGGATCTGGCCCTTCCTACATCCAGGACATGGTTAAACCGTACACCCCAGCACGTGCACTCCGCTCTGCATCGGCCAAACAGCTCGCTGCACCTGCACTGCACTACAGTTCCCATCAGCAAAAACACGTGGGTTTGCTATCCTGGCTCCAAAATGGTGGAATGAGCTCCCCATTGAAATCAGGATAGCAGATAGCTTGCTCATCTTCCGGCGCAGACTGAAAACTCATCTCTTTCGACTCCAATTTGAGCGATAGAATTACTAACAAAGCACTTATATACTAATAAAGGACTGGCTTATCTAAAGCCAGTTGAGTAGCACTTGAAATGTTTGGCTCTATGAAACCTGATGTACTTATATGATTCTGTTTTCTTCAAGTTTGTATCTTCCCGGTCGAATGTACTTATTGTAAGTCGCTTTGGATAAAAGCGTCAGCTAAATGCAATGTAATTTAATGTAATGAGTATTGTGGAATTGCAAATGATTCCTTAGACACTGGTTTGAAACAATCCAAATTGTGATTTTTTTGTTTTCCCTCCCCCTGTGTGTGAATCTTCTGACCTGTCCTCTTTTTCTGTCTTTCCAGTCTAACGATATGGTGAAGGCCTACCCTCCCTTTGTCAACTTCTTTGAAATGAGCAAGGAGACGATTGTTCGTTGTGAAAAACAAAAGCCACGCTTCCACGCTTTCCTCAAGGTATGGCCTTTGCAGCTACTCCGTGCTTGTTTGCCTGACAGGTTGGTGTCATGTAAAGACAGATCTTGCACAAGAGACCTGCAAGGGGTTGAAATGAGAAAAATAGATAGGACGATTGTACCTTTATGTCACTTCTTCACATCAACGCACACACTCTAGCCTTGTCATCATGTCTGAAAATGATTGATTGTTTAGTTGTCATTTGTCCCAGGTTATGCCATTACTTTAGACATTTTGGCTGTTGTTCTTGAGGTAAAAGTCTTTTTGATCCCTATCTCTTTATAAAGTACTGCACCATTCTATAGGAAAGTGTAGTGCCTTAACATGTTTCAGTTGGTGTCTTCAATCAAGTTTCTTTAGGAAAGTCATGTAAAGGACAAACCCAGTCTTCACAATCTTTGTAGGATATTGGGGGAAAAAAACGTTCTTCCCAGCGGAATTACTCACAGGAAACACTGATTTCCTGTGATAGGTTTATAAGTAAGCATGTTCAAGACCAAGATTTGACAATACTTGAGGTGTACAGTAACGCTGTCACAGTGTCACTGATATAGCACTTATTTTCAGGAAAAATCAATCCTAAATGACAGGCGTCCTTTAAGTTGTTATGGAGGATAGCTCCTGTAAGCTTATTTTGTGCTGAACTGTCACAAAACACAATTTCCCCCTCGGATCAATAAAGTATTTTGATTGGTTGATTGTTTGATATGATAGGATCACCTTGGATGACTTGAAGGGAGCAAGAGTCCTTTATAATAATTCATCAATATCAATATTTTTAGCAGTGAATTGATCTGTGAGTGGTGCAGGAATGAGTTCTAAAACCCAGTAATGAGTAAGCAGTTTTCCACTTCCAGATCACTTGCGCAACATTTTTAAAAGGTAATTTGGTTGGATCCATGTAATGGGGTCGGTGATAAACACAAGCTTAAGAGTCCTTCACGTTTTGTTGTACGACCTCTAATACATCAGTAAATACCACACTGGTGAAGGTCTGAAGCTTCTATGTGTCATCAAAATAGCATTTGCTGACAAGGGATTTAATGAAAATACAAAATGTCATCATGCCAAACATTAGCCACCTTTAGCTTAGCAGGGGTAATGCAAAAACATGCGACCACAATGTAGTCCAGTTAGCTTTTAACTTCTAGCAGAGGCATTAGCACTTCAGAACTCTTTAAAGTAGTGTTGATATGTGAAGATTATCCTTCTGAATGCTACATGGAAGTATAAAAAACATGTAATTACCAAATATCTTATTTACATGCAATATTCTTAAATGTAATGGAGATTTTTTTGAGGGAGCTTTTGTGATACTTCTGCCTACAAAAATACGTCATCATAACACCATTCCATGCTGATGGTCAGCGTGCATTGCACATTTTTATTTCCCAATTAAATGTGTATTTGAGGTTTATACAGACACTTCTTATTACAATAATATATCCTTTTTTTCAGATCAACCAGTGCAAGCCAGAGTGTGGCAGGCAGACCCTGGTGGAGCTGCTCATCAGACCTGTACAGAGACTGCCAAGTGTGGCCCTCCTTCTTAACGGTAACACACACACACACACACACACACACACACACACACACACACACACACACACACACACACACACACACACACACAACGTTTCCCTTTTTTCTTCCTCCATTGCAGACATAAAGAAGCACACGCCAGATTACAACCCAGACAAGGAAAAGCTGGATAAAGCAATCGAGTCTCTGAAAGAAGTCATGACGTGAGTTGCCGTGACCTTACCCTTTCTTTTGTGATGATCACAGACAGAAATATCTGAACCCCTCATCTGAACACTCTCCTATCATACTAAAGCTTGAACATTGTATAGGTTCTACTTCAATAATTGACCATTATCGAGCCAAGATTTAACAAGAAACAAGTGACTTTAATTGAAGATGTATTTGACAGGGACAGTTTGCATTAGTATTACGTTTTTATTTTATTATTTATTATATATGTATTTTATAAATGTTTATATTTTATTGTATTGATTTATTTTTGTCTTTTGTGTTCCTTTATTTTTCCGAGAGGGATCAATATTTATTACATTTTTTGTATCCTAGCTTTTACCTCCTTGTTTCTCTTAAACTGTTAAAATGTTATGTTATGTTGCCATGCTGCATGTTTCCATAAAGGTCTTAACATCTGATCTGAGGTGAATTTCTTGTTCTCTGTTTTAATTTCTGATTTGTGCCATTTTTTAAAAGCACTTTGAGCTGCACCTACTGTATGAAAAGTGCTGTATAAATAAAGCGTCATTATCATTAGAAGATTATCTAACAGGCTATTTTTCATCTGTAGTCCCTGACCTGATGTTGTCAATGACTAAAACAAATGATGCAAATTGCTGCTTCAGTACTACTTTAAAAATTACAAAATGTTCTTAAATGTTTCCAACCCCCCTCCTTTCCTCCCCACTAGTCACATCAATGAGGACAAGAGGAAGACTGAAGGCCAGAAGCAGATCTTTGATGTGGTCTATGAAGTCGACGGCTGTCCTGTAAGTTAAAGATCCATGTTGTTCCATTTATCTGTGGTGTTGTCGACCAACTGCGTCGAAATAGATCAGCCCCGCAATAGTTGGATATGTACGTGTATTACATGCTCAGACACACTGAAGATTATTTTTAACCCATGTCTGACTAGACTGTTTTATTGATAATTTAAGATATAGATCATAATTTACTCTTTTGACGAATAGTAGAGATGTGTACGCCAGAGAGGATCAGCAGGACCCGATGGCATGTATTGATGAGTTTGAATAAGTCACACAACCACTCTGTAGGGATGGAGGCACAGAGCAGTTTCAGGCCCAATTTCAAACCAACCCTTGCGCACTCCCACTCATGCGGCTTTCACACCAGCGCTTTTCCAATTCTAGTTCCGTACTAGAGCTTTTCTGGTTCAGCTCCAGTTTCCCTTTTCTGCTCCCGCTCTGTTCACACCACACAGAGCCGGGGTGGTACTGCGTCATTGCCTCATCGTTTGCGTCATGACGCAACCGTTTACGTGCCTGCTTCATAAAAACCAAACCGTGCGGAAATCCCTCACATCGACACGAACAACAATGGCCGATTGTATTGAAGCGCTGTTCGCTTTGATTATGCTCTTACGAAACTAAATGGAAGGCATGGGACGACTTTACAAGGAACGACTTTACAAGGAACGACTTTGCGGTCTTCAGGAGGTTGATCCTGCTCATGCCCTTGCCTCGACGTAAGAGAGACGTAAGCGGCACCGCATCTTAGTTCCGGAATCTTGCTTGCTAGACCGACAATTTTTTGGAGCTGGAAACGAACCGGATTCCGGAGCTAAGAGGCGGCGCCGCTGCGGTGTGAAGAGAAAAAAACGGTACTTTTCAGGCTCTAGCTCCGAGCCGGCCCTGAAAACGCGTTGGTGTGAAAGGGGCATCAGTGACAGTGATCTCCTTCTGTAGTCACACTCTCAGCCAAAAGAGCTTCTTCTCTAAGGTGGAGGGTGATAATACAGCAGCAAGCTTCGAGGAAATCCTCTCTCTAGCAGTAACTTTACGTAACCACAGTTTAGAATCAGCATCTCTTGGACAAATATTCAGTGTTGTTTAATTTATTTTTTTGTAAATATTTTTTTTCCAATTTGAGCTTTAACGGCTGGTTAAGTCAAGAACAATGCAGAGTTTCTGTTGGAGGTTTAATAACTCCCACTCCCCGCTAGTTGGTCTGGAACAACTCTAAATGTGTCCGACCCTCTTGAGTCGTATTTCAGACATTTAATTGACCTTTGACCGGACAGACCGGAGCAGCTGGTAGCTCCACTGTTCTTGGGTCAATGTTTGTTTTGGTTAAGCTATCCTGACTCGCCTCTCTCTGTTCTTCGGGCTGTAACTTAGATATTAGGGACTTTTGGTCTGGTTGGGTAGTAGGTAGACGTTGTGGGCTGCAATCGTAATTATTTTGCACCCTTTTCTGATGTTGTGCAGTATGTTCCTTTCATCGGGCTAATTTCTTGGCTGATACTTCTTGCCGCAACTGTCACCATCCTCACTGCTCCTGTTTTATTTTCCCTTTTCCACCCTAATCTCTCTTTGTTTCAGCCACCTTTTTCCACATTTCCCTCTAACTTTCTTTGTGCTCTCTGCAGGCCAACCTGCTGTCCTCCCACCGCAGCCTGGTTTATCGAGTAGAAACCATCGCCCTGGGAGACCAGCCTTGTGATCGCGGGGAACATGTCACACTCTTCCTCTTCAATGACTGCCTCGAGGTGAGAATGCACACAAACGCCAATAAACATTTGACAATCTAAAGGCCCAGACACACCAAGCAGTCACCAGAAAACTCGCCGACGCCGACTATTGCGTCGGCGTGTTCTCCTGCGTCTTGGCCATGTGTCGCACGTGAACACAGCGCAAAGACTTCAGCCGAGCACGTACGAACTGCGCATGCGTGAGCGGCAATAACTCTCCTTACCAGCAGGCGGCGGTAGTGTGTATTCGTCATTCAAAAGAGACAACAACCGGAAAACAGAGAAGAAGAACAGACTACGTGATTATAAACAAACAACAAATAGCGTGTGCGTTCCATTTTCACTCTCGTCCATCGAAAACATGTCTCGTGCGGTACTGGAGCTATCAGTGTTGCTTGTGGAAGACATTCTTCGTGCCTTCTTAAAGCGTTTGTTTACGCCCCCCACTTCCGTTTCGCTTCTCATGCACTGATTCTCTAGCTGAACAGCCAATCAGAGTGATTTATTTGGCCCGACTGCCCGACCCGACGCCATGTGTAGGCCATGAAAGGCCAAATAAGGCGTGTCACGGCCGACGGTGCGGGACGCACCAAATTGAGTTTGGGCGACAGGGCACGCTTCGTCGTCCGACTAACACCGACGCCGATAA